GGGGGTGGGGGGGTTGGGTGCAGCGCAGAGGCTGACGCCACAGCCCTGAGGATGCACAGCGCTGTGAACCATGTCCCCAAGAGCAGACGTCTCGTAATGGTGAAACTATGAAGGACAAAGGGTAGGACGTTTCCGTGACAGGACGGCACAGCAGGTTGAGGTCAGGGCCACAGTGCGAGCGACCTCCCCTGGCAGGGACGCCCCTCAGAGCTGGGGGACAGCACATGCGAAGCCTCAGAGGAGCAGCAGCATTTAGAGCCTCTGGGCAGTAGCAGATACCTTGGAGGGAGGTTTAAGACGGCCAAAGAGATATTTGCAAATCAGGGGTGTGGTAAGGGTGGAGAACTAAAACTATCAGCAAACGCGGCAGGATTCGAACTGACCAGTATCTGAGAAAAGCTCTTCAGTATTTTCCTTCACGGGGGTGCTATCAGTGGTCAGCAATGACAGGACCCCGGACCTCTCCTGAGAGCCCACAGAGGAGGAGTCAGGCTTCCCACAGGCCAGAGACACGGACTCCAGAGCCGGGCTGACCGCAGCACACAAGATGAAGAAGTAGCGAGATGCGGGGAGGAAGCAAGGGAGACACATGTCAGGGTGCTACGCAGAGGCTAAGAAAAATTAAAAATGGGCAGGGCAAAATAATTTTGCCTGCTTTCATTAGTGATATGGGCGTGATGATGTTGGTGTTACTCTGCAACTGTTTGTATAGTAGAGGATAAAGGAAATATGTTATTACAGGATATTATTACAGGATATTGCAGATTAACCATTCTCAGTTTACAGAGTGAGGATTCTGTTTTTGAAAAAAATATTTTTTTCTGGGGCCCTCTCTGGTGGCGCAAGAATGCAGGGTAAGGACACAGCACTGCAAGCTAGCTGCAGCCGCTTCAGTGCGAGTTTGATCCCCACCCCCGGAGATGACCCACAGCGCGCGGCAGACCTCTCCTGACCCGCCCGCTGCTCCCCTCAGCAGTGTACTTCATAGGTCGGCCTGTTCTGCTCCCCACTCTGACACTGATGAATCCTCTCACCATCCTGCACCTCTGGCTTATACCCCAGTTCAACATGCATAAAGAAATCAATTTTGAAAAAAACGTTTGTTAAAAAATATTTTTTTCTGTATCAGGAACTGGAGTACAGGCCAGAGGTGCAGGGGAATGAGAGGAGACAGAGCAGGGAGCAGAACAGCCAGACTGATTGAAATACACTGCTGAGGGGAGCAGCAGGTGAGACAGGAGAGTCTGCCATGCCATGGGGGTCAGCTCCAGGGTTGGGGATTGAATTTGTGCTGCAGGGGCTGATGACAGCTTCACAGTGTTGCAACTATTCACGGTGTTGCAACTTTCCGATTGCAACACCAGGGAGGCCCACCATGAGGATGCCCGGTGGAGCACTGAAAACCTGGCAGAGTTACCTATGGGCAGTTACCTATGTCACTACCAACTATTGAGATTTGTGTTCTAAACATTTATCTTTACATAGTTCTAGCCTGGGTCTGCTGAAAAGGTCTAGACACAAAAATACCACTTATGAGGGTCCACTCACACTCAAAGTGTGGGCTGGACATTCTTTCTACTCAAACAAACCAGGGGAATTTATGGAATGACTGATTCTGCGGATGGACATTTGGTCAGTGCAAACAGGGAGGAAGCTCTGAGGCCATGAGACCACAGACAAAAGACCCAGAGCCAGACAGACAGCTTCTATCTGTCACATGAGCAGAATTCAGCTTCATCGGGGATGATACTGCCAGGATAGAGACCGTTGCTTTTATCCAGGAGTTTAAAACGATTGTGAAACAAATAAAAAGAAAAAAAAAATCAGACATCTTGAGGATGACAGGCAAGTGGCTCAGGTTCTTCACTTACAGGGACTGTGGAGGGCGACAGGTGAGCCTCCCCCATAGCCCCACCCAGGCGCCCCGAGACGGGCTGTGGGGCGTCTCCCAGTGGGAAACACCGGAGTTGAGCTCCCGCCGCACACAGACTAGGAGTGATGACCCGGCGTCAGGCCTCTCGCTCTCCCCTCGGCAGGAGCGTCAGGGCCCAGAGGCCCCCGGGGGTGGGACCCCAGCGCCCCTGCAGCCAGGGGACTGACCCCGAGTCTGAGGGAGCCCCGGGCTCAACAGCTGCCCCCCAGAGACACAGCCCAGATGGTGACGGGCACTGGTGGTGGGCGCGGAGTGGTATCCCTGCTCAGTCAGGGTGAGGGCCAGGGCTGGGTCAGAGGCCCAGAAGGGAGGGGACTGCACGGGTGGGGGTGGGGCTGCAGGGGCTCAGGGCAGAGAGGGGTGCCTGGAGCATGTGGGGAGGGATGAGCCTGCTGGGAGAACTCATGGCCTGGGCTGGAGAACACTGCCTTCTACAAAGCAACTTAGGCTTAATCAAAGTCAAAGAAGCAGAAACCAGGCTGAGAAGTGAGGCTGCAGCAGGTGTCCTGGACTCTCCCCCAGGGGCCCCTGAGCAGGGAGGCCCAGACCCAAAGGCCTCAGCTCCTGACAAACAGGGGCTCTGGGCTCTGAGCTGGAAAGGGAGGGGCACGCCGCCCTCTGGTGGGGGGCAGGGGCACTGCAGCCACCGCCCCAGTCACAGACACACAGTCAGGGTCAGTATAGAGGCTTTATTGGGGACACTGGGGTTGAGGTGGAGGATCTAGGCTCAGTTGTTGGCCATGGTCTCCTCAATCCAGGGCATGAACTTGGTGACACGGGCAGACACACTGGGCATGGTGGCGGAGCAGGTCTCATTTCCCCAGGACATGACGCCCACCAGGGTCCAGGCTCTGTCCTTCTGGCAGACCAGGGGGCCGCCAGAGTCACCCTATGGGAGAAAGACTTGTCTGCATGTTTGCAAGGAGGTGAGGACCATTTTGTGTGCCCATCTGACTTGTCAAAGCAATACCCAAGGCAAAATTAGGAACAGGGGTGGAGTGCTAGAAACTTTCATCTGAGCAAGTGGCAGACAGCCCCACCACCTGTGCCAGAGGCGTGTGGGATCAACTGCAAAAAGTGCTGGGAACATACAGCACGGGGGTCCCAATGAAAGAAAACCCCGTTGGGAAGCACCTCAAGTCAGGCTGGCGCCCCCCCACCCCCACCCCATGACATCTGCTGGAGCTGGTCCTGGCTTCTTTGGACAGGGCGCAGGGGGAGGGCAGGTGAACCAGGGGACCAGAAGTGGCTGCCTCAGCCTATGGCAAGACAGACCACCAGGGGGCAGCGCAGAGCAGGCCCTACCTTGCAGGCTGCAATGCCATTGCCCCCTGCACAGACCATGACATCAGTGACGTCAGCGCCCCAGGACTTCATGCACTCAGCGTTGGACAGGAGGGGCAGGGTGGCCTGCTGCAGCTTGTTGGAGGCTTGGCCTGGATAACAGAGAGGCCAGGATGGTATGAGAACCCTCAGCCTGCTGCCTGTCCTGGGAGGAGAGGACAAGACCCCAAGGATGCTGCCCTCCCTGGTCCTCTCTGGCATCAATATTTTCAGGGTGCCTGAATCCAAGTTATGTGCCCCCTTAAATCTTAGAAATCTCAGTGGTACCCTCCTTCTGATTTCACTTAGTGCCAAATTTGCCAAATTTGCTGCAGACACAGCTGGTGTTAAAGTCCTGCCTGCCCATCCTGTTATGGGAAGGAACAGCCAGGTAGCCCTGGCTTGGGCAGAGGAAAGCAGGATGCTAGAGGAGACCATCAGGCTGAACTAGTCCTGGTGAGTGGACGCCAGGCTGGATATTCAGGTCCTGACCACACCCTAGATATGTCTGGATACCTGAATCCTACCTAGGTCTGTAAGGAAGCCACAAACTAATCTCTGAGGCCTGAGGGACTTCCACAAGGTGGGGATCTCTGTGGACAGCTGCAGGAGGGAGTTTCAGGGCCTGTTGGGACTGAGCTGCATCTACAGAACTTGAACATTCAAGACCATCGTTGACCTCATGTCCATCATTGGGCATGTTTATAGTTGTTGGGTTTTGAATAAAATAGCAGAAACATTTATGGCTCTGTTTCCATAAAATGACAAAGCAGAGCTATATGGGCCCTGCCTACTGGACACACAGACCAGACCCATCTCCTGGGTGACAAGGCCAAGGTCACTCACCGTAGTAATCATTCCTTCCCCAGCCCGTGGTGACACACAGGGACCCGGCAGGGAAGTTGTCCTGAGCCCTGGGCAGGCACACGGGGGACACGACCTTGGAGAAGCGGGCGGGCGTGGCCAGCTTCAGCAGGGCGATGTCATTATTGATGGCATACATGTCAAAACTGGGGTGATCAAACACCTGTGGTGAGGTGGGGGGTAGTGTGAGGCCTGGGATCCATCAAGGATCTGCAGGTGTCAGGAGACAAACACCTTTCTGGTGCCAATGACAGGACAGACCAGGGGAGCCCCGGGGAGAATGTGAGCCCATCTGCACCCCCGTCTCTCTTACCCCCTGCCCAACCCCAGCCTGGGTACCTGAGCAATCCTCAGCTCCTGGACATTCTTTTTCCTCTTTGTTTTCAAGTTAAATATTCCAGCAACAACTGTGTGATATGTGCTAGAGGAGGCAGGTGGGATGAGGAAGGAGAATGAGCCTATCCCTCCAGCCCCCCACATCTGAACCTTCCCTGGGCCTCACCGGACTCTACAGTGGGCGGCAGTGACCACCCAGGACTCGTTGATCAGGGAGCCCCCACATATGTGGAAGCCTGTGTGGTCCTGAAAGAAGAGGGGAGTCAGTGCTGGCAGGTCACAGCCACACCCCAGCCATTGCCTCCTCCATGGACCCAACCGCAGGCCACCCCACTCTGTGCAGACTCCCCTCACCTGCAGAGCCACCTGCCAGGGCCAGGAGCCAGGGACAGCGACTTTCCCATTGACGATCCTCTGTATGCCACCCACAACTGGGGGAATGGCCGGGACCCCACAGCCTGGAGGGGAAAGGTGGGTGGAGAGAGGGTGAGGTCCCAGCCAGTCTATAGAGCTCCTGTTTCTAGCTCAGTATCACAGCACCCACTTCCACACTCCATTACTCAGGAGCCATTCCCAGGCACACCAAGCCCTGGTTGGAGAACCCCACAAAAACACATTGATGTCCCCAGTCACCGCTCCAGGAATACAGAGGGACAGTTGGCACCACCAGGGTCCCCCTGCCCAGAGGAGTAGAAATAGATGAGGAATCAGGCTTCTTTGCCCTCTGTCCCCCCGTACCCCTGCAGGGTCCTCAGCCCCGACAACTCTCCCAGTCTCATTTCCCCAAGAAATGGGAGGAAACACGCCACCCTCACAGGCAATAAGCCAAAGGGCGTGGTGTGGACAGGAGGTGGGTGTAAATCAGAGAACCCCAAATGCATGGGACATCAACCCACTCATCCTGACAGAGTATGACCGTCCTACAGAAAACAGGGAAAATAGGGAAAGGTGATTTTGCTAAATCCTCACAAAGATAGTTGGATGTATTATTGGGGTAAGATACTTGGATTGTATGATTATGTTTATATTGACAAAATGCAAAGCCCGGAGCAGGTCCTGGCACTGACACCCCTCATGGCCTCTGTGCCCACAGTCCCACGGGAGCCACGTCTGGGGCCTCTGTTCTCTGAGGAGCCCAGATGCTCCTTCCTCAGGCCTGGCAGAGGGCTGAGGGCTCAGAAAGCCCTAGAAGGCCCCTCTCGCCTAAAAACTCAGGTTGGTATCAGGTCCTGAAGCCCAAGTGTGCAGGAAAGGGGACTCAGCTCTCTCCCCTGGCATCCAGGAGACTCCCACACTGAGATAGTCCCTAGTGATAACCAGGCTGAGCCCCCTGGGAGATCAGGGCTACTCCCCAGTCTCCTTCCAGACCTGGCTGGTCCCTCAGACCCAACACTCACCAAAGGCGGCCCCGACCCCGATGAGGATGGTGCAGGAGAGCAGCCAGAGGAAGGCCATGGTGGTGAGCGGGAGCGGAGTGTGGCCACCTGCTCTGGGCGCCTTTTAATATCCTAGGAGTCCTGCTCCCACCCAGGCCTCGGGGCCTAGAGGACCTGAGGCCTCCCTCCAGCTGTCATCTTAGGATCTAGGATGGTCAGGGGTCCTCAAGCATGTCTAGGCCTGTGCCTTAGCCCTGGACAGGCCTGGGAGAGGGCAGCAGTCTGGCTCCCAGACACCCACCAGCTGCAACTTCTGGGTCACTGAACCCAGCTGGTCAGCTCAGGGGTCCTGGCCCCACCATGGAGGCTGCAGGTGCTCAGCTGAGACTCAAACAGGGAGACTCCCTCAGGTGTCGGGGGCACCCAGAGATGAGCACCCAGGAGCTAAATTTCAACACAGGCCCAGAGCTCAGGACTTGAGGCTGCTTCTCTATCAGGTCAGGGAAAGTCCTTGAGGCATCAAGAATCCACAACAAGAAGTCTCCGGTCCCTGCTGGGGGGCTGAGACCAGCCTAAAGGGCAGTTTCTGAGCACTTGAGGACCAGCGAGCATGGCCTTGTCAACCAAGTTCTTTGCCTGTGCTGACTCACAATTGGTGAAGTATCACTGCATCTCTGTTTAGTTTCTCGTTGAGGAGGATTTGGTTCTGCACAGAGATGGCCACTGAGGACACAGAAAGCTCAGGGCTGCTGTCAGGCCATGAGGACAGGCCAGGGAGCCAGGAGCAGGTGGGTCTGGGAGGCCCCTGACCTAGTGGGGCTCAGGCCCTCAGGCTCCAGAGTAGGCCCTGCTCAGACACAGGGCACCTGACCCCAGGGTCTAGATATGAGAGGCACTGACCAAGTAGGGACACCACATGACGGGTCCCCAATGTGGGAGGGGCTTCTGCAGTCAGCTTCGGGGCTTCCGGGTGAGAAGGCCCCAGGTGAGAACTGAGTGTTCTCCAAGGCCTCGGCCTGTGCTCCCCTGGGAGAAGCAGGTCAGAGTGAGCAGGCGGCTCTGGTCAGCCTGGAGGAGCTCCTGGGGGGAGGGGGAATGTGGGGGTTGGGGAGATTGGGCCCCCAGGCAGGCAGGAAGCGCCGGGCCTGTCCCTCTGCTCCCTCTATGTCTCTCTGCCCTCTGTCCCTTCACAGCCTGTGTCACCATGGAACCACAGGGAACCCCCAGGGAAGGCCGGGGCCTCAGGGACCTAAGAGAGAACCCCAGGGGGGTTGGACACAGGGACCTGCAGCTGAGGAGGTGTGTGTGGTGGGGGTGGGGTCATAGCAGGAAGGAGGCCCAGAGCAGGGAGGGAAAAATCATGAACAGAAAAGCAGTCATTCTCAGTTGGAAGATAGTCAGTTTGGGTCTCTCTGTTGTTCCAAGGCCGTTCAAGCACAGTACTATGAGGCTATTTATAGATGCCACATCATGAGATTGATCCCTGGCCAGGGAGCTGACCCACATGGCATTGCAGAATTCTCCTGACCTGCCTGCCTCTCCCCTCGGCAGTGTATTTCAGTCACACTGCCTGTTCTGCTCCCCACTGTCTCTGGTGAATCCTCTCACCCCCGCACTTCTGGCCTTTACTCCTGCCCTTGTATGCATAAATAAATCTTAAAAAAAAAAAAGATAGGTTTAAGTAGCACTCAAAAAAGATGGGACTTGAAGGTGAAATCAAGAACTATTACTCCTTTAAATCTCTCCACGTTTGTTCGTGGGAATGCAAACTGGTCCAATCTCTATTGTCCATTGTTTGGAGGTTTCTCAAACTACTAGAAATGGAGTTTCCATTTGATGTAGCAATTCACTCCAATATCTGCCCAACGGACACAAGAACAGTAATTGTAAAGGACACCTGACCCCTATGCTTATTGCAGACAGAGTGCCATAGGTAGGCTATGGAAGCAACCCCAAGCCCCAGAACTGATGACCGGATCAAACGATGTGGTTTGTTTACATATGGGACATTACTCACCTATCAAAAATGGCAAACGCCTGCCATTGAAATAAACATGGATGGAACCGGAAGGGATTATGCCCAATGAAATAAGCCAGAAAGGAAAAAAAAAAATTCAACAGGCTCACTTATACGAGAAATACAGAACCAAGTAAGGAATCAGGAAACATGTAACTTAATAAAGTAAAAATCAAAATCATCCAGCAACAGTAAAGCAGAGACATTCTGTACGGGAGGAGGATGGAGAAGCGTGAGGCAGAGGTGGGATGAGCACCAGGGACTACGGTGATGGTGCTCAGGGGAATGGTGGGAATTTCACGGGGAGACCGCACATTGTACAAAAATGAAGGGTGATGGTGACGTAACTATATATGTGTGTATCTATATCTATATAATTAGTCATCCTTAAAAAAGAGAGAAATATATCTCCTTTACAGGAAAGTCCTAAACCTAACAAGTAAATCTGCCTCCTTTCTCTGAAGATGAGACAAATATGTGAGATAAGTTGATGTTTCTTAAGACTACATGGCTTTTATTTTAAATGAAATGTTCTTTTTGCTATTTTGAAGTTAAAAAAGGTTTATTATGGAATATTTCTAAAATGTAGCAAATATTGAGTAAGAGAAAACCAGACTCTCCATGACACCCACCTGACCTGAAGTGTCTGCTCTGTAGATGTTAACAGTGGACACGTTAGTGTGGTAACACCCCCGGTGGAGAGCTGCCACCTGCTCCCCTAAATCACAAACAGTGACCTTAAAAAATTACAGAAGTGGCCCTCCCTGGTGGTGCAGTAGGTTAAAGCACAGCACTAAGAAGCTAAAGCCACTTCAGCCTGCGTTCGATCCCCGCCTGCCCCGGAGGTGA